TCTTTCTGAGATTGGGTAGCTTTTGTCTTTTAAGGAAATTGCTCATTCTATGAGTTGTTGAATTTATTGGCATAATGTTATATATATTATTGTGTTTTAATAATGACTTTTAACATCCTCGCTTTCTATCATCTTTGCCGTATTTGGGTCAAGTTTGGCTGGATGATTTTTGTCCTCATTATGGATCAATTTTCTTGCTTCTTTGCATACCTCATAATTTTTTGATTGGATAAAAAAACCGATTGGGAAAACATCATGTACCCAAAATTGAAATTATAAGGAAGCTAGAGAAATTTCAATTTTGTTAGTGAGGAGTAAATGAAGTATGGTTTTATTTTCTAAGTTGGGAGAGAACACAAGGGATGCTAATCTTCAAAGGGCTCATGCTATAGGCAGCAGCCCAGCTATGCCCAGTTACTAAACATGATTCAGACAGTTAAAGATGGGATATGGAGATAGATATTTCAGTAAGAGATAAGAACTTCAACCTAGGATGATGAGAGAATGTTTGAGGAACAATGACTAAATGAGTTTTATTGGAAATTAGGGTTGTGTGGAAAAAGTAATGAGGAATGTATGCATTTCAACACTTAACCATATTATGTGCATATGTCAGGTCATCCCCAGAGATTGCAAATACTTTGAAGACAGGTACTGTGGTGTACACACAGGTGCCCATGCATTATATGTGTGTGTGTATGTGTGTGTATCCTTACATATTGCATTCACATATATTCTTACATGTATTCATATATATAAATATATATCTATATCTATCTATTTATATCTCTCACAGCCCCATGTATAGTAATAAATGCTAAATATTTATTTAACTGACTTGGATTTTTAAGACTTTTTTGGCACCATCATCTGCTTATAAATAGGTGGTCTTTTTGGTACAATAGGTTTGGTACAACAGCTGTTAAATTGTTCTGCTACCCAGCAGAGTACCCAGTGGACTCTCCAACCCAGCAATCTGTGGAACCTGCACAGATTAGAACATCTAACACATCTACTTAACCTAAGTTTCAGAGACAAGAAGAACATACCTAGACCTTGCATTAAGAACACTGTTTTTCACTATGCTTCCCTACTCTGATGAAAGAAACCAAATCACAGGGCACTTTAGTGGCTGAGTCAGTTGAGTGACCAACTCTTGACTTCAGTTCAGGTCATGATCTCATGGTCATGAGATTGATCTCCACATCAGTCTCCATGCTGGCATGGAGCCTGTTTAAGATTCTCTCCTTCTGGTGAACCATGAGAGACTATGGACTCTGAAAAACAACCTGAGGGTTTTGAAGGGGCGGGGGTTGGGAGGTTGGGGGAGCCAGGTGGTGGGTATTAAGGAGGGCACGTATTGCATGGAGCACTGGGTGTGGTGCAAAAACAATGAATACTGTTACGCTGAAAAGAAATAAATAAAAAAAAAGAATGTATGCAAATAATTTTTGTTCAGAGATTGAAGGGGGAATATGCAGATAACTTTGTGGTCTTCTGAAGCTATTCAATCAACATCAGATGAATTATTTCATCATATTCCCATTATTCAGAATTTCATAGATCTTAATTGTGTCCTTTCTTCTCTGCCTATTGTGAATGAGTCTGTAATACAGTATCCTTTAGCTGATCCGGGACCAAGATCATTATTCTTGAGGTTTCCTCCCCTTGATTTTAGAAATTTGTGGCTCTGACGACTACCTCAAGCTTTATAATGTATCTCAAGCTAGTGTTAAGTTCATTTACACTAAAGATTAAAGACAAAATTTAAAAAAAAAAAGATTCTCTCCTTCTTCCCCTGTCCCTCCCCTCCTCAAAATAAATAAATAAATAAATCATTATTAAAAAGATGTTTTACTAGATTAGGAGAACCTGTTTTTTTATGCAAATGACTGTGATTTCTTTTTTAGTTCTGAGAATTGGCCCATAGGATGGTTTAGGAATTAGATAAATATCGTTATCTTTTTTAAAAAATTAAAAATTTGTATACATACATAAAGTAAAGCCTTAGTACTTTAGAACCCACTAATTTAGAAATTATGATCATTTGAAAATGATTCAGAAAGATATTTGACCTTGTATTATCTATAAACGGAGTGAAATCATAGTCTAAATAAGATTGTTGGGGATTATTGTATGCATAAATTGACTACAAAAGCAAGTTCACAATTGGAATCATGATGATATAAATTATCCCATTAACCTGCTCTTCCAATTATAAATAATCTCTTTACAATACAACAGTTTTCCTTTTCTGTAAATAGAATTTTGTACTTGCTAGAGGAAATTTGGTGCATACAGGCAAAGGAGATAAAAGAGAAAGTCCTAGTAACCCCCAAATCTATATTTCCTTCCAGTCTTTTTGGGTTGGCATAGTGAGTTTTGGAGTGTGTTTGTGTGTATATAGGATATAGGGGTGGTTATGATTTTATAGTTATAACCTTATCTAACTCGATTTTCTGATGAGGTGGTAAAACCTTTTTGGAGTATTTTTTCAGAGCAATTTCTTGTGCTAGATTATAGGCTTATACCCCTAGTAAAATATAAAAATTCATAACCTTTGTTGTTTTTAAACCACATAAAGATGTCTCTTTGAAACAGCATGTTCCTTGTCACAGATTTCATCAGATCTGATCTGCTGATGGGATGATACCCCACCATTTAGGAAGTGCACCTGTGGTTAGATTCTCAGGGACATCCCTTTTTCATTTTCTATAATGATTTTGCCATTCTTGAGTTCTTTATTTTGAGTCATTTCCTACTTGACTTATCAGTTAGGACTGACATAAAAGTCTCAAAAGAATGGTAGCTTAAATACAACATTTTTTTTTTCTCATATGAAATAACTTCAGAGGTGGGTGACCTCATTTGGGTAGATTCACAGTATGGGACTCAGGCCACTGGCATCTTTCTTCTCTGCCATTCTTAATGGTTAACTTCTTATTGCCATGTTGACTCGTGATCTTAAAAGGTTGCTGGACGATTCCACTACATTTGAGCAGCAAGGAACTAGCAAGGATAAGAGAGAATCCCTTCTAGCTGAGTTACCCTCTTCAAAATCATTGTTCTGAAAGTCTTACTCAACAACCTCCTATTACTCTCCTTGGCCAGAAAGCAGTTGAATGACTCTACCTAGATTGAAAAGAGCCTGAAAAACGTAGGTTTTTTAGTGGAGGAAATTGTTAACTCAAATAAAAAAATTTTATTTATTCCAAAGAAGAGAAGACAATCATCTGAAGTATTTAGTGCTTTTAAAAGTACATCATACAACCACCAAATACAACCACATTGTACCAAGTAATTTTCACAAGAAGGATACATGAATGGTATATGTTTAAGTCATTGCAGAGCTGTGACTCTTTTGCTCTGACACACAAAAGGCAGTTTCACTAAGTATAATATGCTTGGATCATAAGCATTACAAAAATCTCAGAACACTCTATGTGTTACTCCATTATCTTCCTATTTAGACAGGATTAGTTATTCCTATCTCAGTAACTTGTTTTAGTTATCTTTGTTTTGTTTTATTTTGCTGACTGTATGAATAAGACTTTTTTTTATTAACACATAGATTTTATTTTGCAAGGTTGTTATCTATTAATATTTTATCATACAAAAATGTATGGCACAAAAAATTGTTTATAGATTCCTGAATAAGAAGTTTTAGTCTAGTTTATGGCTTTTTTCCCATGGAGAAATAAAGTACTTGTCAAAACTCTTGCTGAAATCTTTAACTTATCTTTATACCCTTAGCCTTGGTATTAAAAATCATCCAAAATAAATTTTCAGAAAATCTGCTACACTATCTCTAAAATGGTGCCTGAGAGTAGATGTACTCCATTCTCTCTAAAATACCTTTGCTCAGGAATTGAATGAAATTCCATCTGCTGACTTAGGAAAATGGATAAATTGCCCTCACATTGTTTATCTATATTTTGTAAAGAATATGTTTTCCTTTTTTGCCTAGTATAGTCTAATATCTTCAGAAACACTTGGTTTATAATTAATGCACCTAAGTTTCTGAAAATGTTAGGAACTTATAGAAGTATTCATATTCATATTATCCCACTACATGAGCTATCTATTACTACATAAAAAATTAATCCTCAAATTTAATGTCTTTAAACAATAACATTATTATCTCACAGTTTCTGTAAGTCAGGAATCCAGACATGGCTTCATTGATCCCTATGCTTTAAAATTCCTCAGGAAGTTGGGACACATTGTATATGCAAAAGCAAGAGAAAATATTGTATAGATTTGCCTCGGGTGAAAAATCCTTTCAGTAAAAACACAAAGCATACATACATATATTTTTTCTCATCACAATTGTATTTTTTCAGATCTTTTGCCTTTCTTTTTGTTTTGATTGCTATATACAGTGAATAATTGCTACTGTAGTGATATAAATAGTACCCTTTGAATAATTTTTAGAAGAAGGAGAACAGGCATAGAATAAATTCTAGTGTTAGGAATATACTTTTTTTTTATAAATTGTTTTTTTTTTTAAGATTTATTTATTTGACAGACAGATCACAGGTAGGCAGAGAGGCAGGCAGAGAGAGGAAGGACAGCAGGCTCCCTGCTGAGCAAAGATCCCGATGTGGGGCTCGGTCCCAGGATGCGGGGATCATGACCTGAGCTGAAGGCAGAGGCTTTAACCCACTGAGCCACCCAGGCGCCCCTGGAATATACTTTTATGGAAATATTTCTGTTGTTTTGAATTTCCAGAAAGACTGTCCTTGAAATATAGTATCTAAAATAATAGTCTACCACCCTAATATTACTGGGAGGTGAATATAATTTTCAAGAGTTGTTTAAGTGACAAAAACTGAACTTAATTATATCAAAAAAATTCCTGAAAATATTTCTATTTGATGGTCTAGAAAGATACATTACTAGTTTAACTTGATTTGTGTATTTAATACTGGACTATTTTCCACATACTTATAATAAATCTCTTCTTATTTCTCTCTTTCTTGACTACTTTTATGAAACAGACTAAGATGCTTAGTCAAGCAGCTGGAAAAAGGTGATGTTAACATCGTAGACTTAAAGAAGAATATTGAATATGCAGCATCTGTGTTGGAAGCTGTTTACATTGATGAAACAAGGTATGTTTTAGCCTGTCTTCCCTTCTATCTTCTTTGCCTCTCTTCCCTTTTTCCTCTTGGTCTTCATTTATCTCAAACATGAATTTAGCTTATCTTAGTCATGAAACTGAAATTAAAATCTTATTAAAATTTAAAAGGTTTTTCTTCATGTACCTATTTAACTGGACTATGATCCATTCTTTAAAAATACACATTTTAATCCAAACAGTGAATATAAAGAAATAGTCAAACAATTAAGTCACAAAATGAACAAACTGAAGTGTCCTCTTCCCCACCCTCATTGCCTTTAGGCGAAGATTTATAAACTCAGAGACATATGTAGGCTTATTTCGATTGTCACCAATATGAGGATTTTCCTATTATCTCAAGATTCCAGAGTTCCTGCTGAGAAAATGGGTGTTACATGTCCACACATTCTCATAAGATGTACCTATCAGACTCTCTGTGTGGGGGTTTGCTAAGGGATAGTCCCCAAAGCATATTCAGTCATCACCCAGACCTTAATCACTTAACTTCACTTCATACTTAGCAGAGTGGTAAGGAGATTAAGAAATGGGGATTTGTTTGAAGAGCGTTCTTAGCCTGGTGTTGTGGCTTTGACCAGGTGATTTGCCTTCCAGGGGCCATTTGGCAATATATGAAGACATTTCTGGTATGGTTAATGGGAGTGTGTTACTGTTATGTGATGGGTAGAGGCTGGAGATGCTGTTACAAATCCTACAATGCACAGGAAATTCCCACACAACAAAGAGTTACCACCCCAAGTGTCATTCCTATGGAGATTAAGAAGCCTTGGCCTTAAGAGAGAACTGTTCTTTTTTTCCTTTTTTCCCCTAAGAAGAGGCTTACCCCAGAACCTTAAGAGGGCATCCTGAGGGTCCTAATGCTAATAGAAGACTCTGGAGTATGATATGATAGTTTGTAAGAGATTTGACCGCTATCTCTTAGAGTTTGGAGGGTACCAAGACTGGTTCCTGATTCTCATCTCAACAGAGATAAAGGTGGCAGGCTGATTCAGACTACCTTGAATTCACAGGTAAAAGGGACACTGTGGAGGAAGAGACATGTCCCTCCAGAGTTTAGCACAGAAAATGCACTAAGTTTTTCAAAGTCATAAGGCAAGTGGAGTAAAGTCTTTAGAAGGGATTGACCAGTATTGAAAGAAAACCGACTTCAGAAGATGAACAAGAGGCTGGCTACATGAGGTGATTGTTGAATGAACCAGGGAGAAATCATAAAGATGCAGCCCAAATATCAGAGAACACATAACACCCCAGAGGGTGTAGCAAGTTCTCTGAAGGATACACAAAAGCTCCCAGAAGAGAAAAATAACCAGGATTTGGGCATCTGTCCCATACATGACAACAAACACACCCATCTCGTAACAACCTTTGACTCCTATAATTTCCTATTATACCCACCACATCATTGAGTGATAAGAAAGAGCAGAGTGAGTGGGACAGATGATGGGACAGGGACATCCATCACGCCCCTTCATTTCTGCAAGTATCCACGCATGAGTCAGGCCTGAGCTTGGTGGAGGATAGAACTGTTAAACCAGATACAAGATTGATGTTCTTACATATCCATGTGTCCTGGGCTTAAACACACACACACACACACACACACACACACACACACCACACTGTTGTTTCACAGGTAAAAATTCACATGATTTAAAAAACAAGATAATGTAAAAAGGTACCTCATGGAAGTCTTGCCTCCACCCTATCCCATCCCAATCTACTCATAAATTTCTTATGTATATTTCCAATGGTGTATTACAAATTTTTATTTCATATTTTTCTATTCTCCTTTTATGGAAGTGGCACACTATGTACATAGTGTTTCATGTTGCTTTCTTTCCCCTTACTAAGGAAACTTGGAGATCTTCCTGTATCAGGTACTGACCTTTTTAATATGAGACCATGAGAATTTTCACTAATAACAGACAGGAAAGGGCATGGTGCAGGCTATGTTGCACAGGTGATTTTTTTCTTTGTCCCCAGAACAGAATTCTTCTGTTAAAACATCATTTAGAGTCATAAATTAGTGGTAGGGGGAATCATAGCCACCTTTTTAGATTATAAGCTTTATGCATAATCGTTTTCCTGGTTAACTTTCACTGAAGGTATATAATGTATATTATTCTTCTAAGCAAACAGAGACTCAAAGTGTAAATAGAAAAAAATCTGATGTTCCTGTAATTTCTTTGCTCCTTCATTTTTATGTATGCTCTTCATTGTTTACAAATTGAGTGAATGTAATATGTTTAAGATTTCTTTAATCTGTCCCTGACACTTTATTTTTTGTATTTATTTATAAAATGAAAGCAATTTTATCTTAAAGAATTATTTGGAGATTTACATTATTCATCTTATGATGGCATAATGCTACCTATCTGGTTCCCCTAAGTATATCTTGTCTTTCAATTAGTAGATTATTACATGATATATTTATTAGGTTTCCCAGGAAATTACGATTCTATAGATATTTTGTTAACTTAGTTCTCCATGATCTCTAACTTGTTTACACATATGTTACATTTCTAAGTATAGTTCTTTTTCATTTGAAAATTACTTTTTTAGAAAATTGCTTTTTGCAGAAAGAAAAAAAAATGCTTAACTGCTTCATGGTAGAACTGGAGTGTGTGTGTGTGTGTACTCTTTAAGAAAAAAAAAATCCCAGCTCTTAACACTACGTCATTTCCAATTTTTACTCAAATGACACACACCTTTTCACTATTTTATTTTAATGCTTCCATGCCTCCATGGCATCTTGATTCTTAAATTGGATTAATGATACTACCCCACATTTGGACCATCCAAGGGCTCATATTAGTCTCCCCACAATCCTATGCAGCTGGCAGAGTGACCATTACTTTCTTCACTTTACTAATGAGAAAACCAAAGGTCTTAGAAGTAAACAGGTTTTGACAATGGTCGCAGATGTAGGCTTTGGCAAAGCTAGGAACAGAAACTAAGGCATGGCTTCTCATCTCTCTCTTAGTGCTCTTCTCTCTATAACTGGTATCCTCTCGGGATGGTTTTTAATGACCTCCAAAAGATGACAATGTGTAAAACATTCTGACAGTTGGAATTGTAGATCCTAGAAAAACAATACTTAACATTTATTACTAAAATCCTCTTATTATAGCCTGCTATGTGCCAAGTACTCTTTTAAGCATTTTAATGCACTATTTCATTTAACCATCATAGTAATCCCATGAGCTAGAAACTTTATTATTATCATTTTACATACCTCATACATACGAGGAAATACATCGACAAAAATGTTACATAGCTTACCCGAGCATCTCATCTGCATCCCTTTGGTAACATCTGACTTTGGCGACTTTGGAGACTTCCTGGAAGTTTTGATGAAAGCTCACGTGCTGTCAGGGTTGTCAGACCCAGTGGTGTGTGGATTGTGTTTGCATCACTTCCAACTCTGCCTTCAGTGATGCCACATTGGTAGCTTGAAATTGGCTACAGTGGGAGTATTTATTTACACCATGCAAACTGGGAAATGCAACAAATCGGGATTTGTTTTTTTTCTGGAGAGCCTGTGGTTAAACATTTACCATCATGCCACTGGTTAGACCTAAGATTATCTCATGTATCTTCCTAAGGCTGTGATTTATCTTCAAAATACCAGCTAGAAATTTTTGAGCAATAATCCTTGATGTGATATGATTTCCAGTGGACTTAGTAAGACACAGCAGTCAACTGAGAATGTTTTTGTTGAGATGCATATACAATTATTAGAGTTTGCCTTTGGAATATTAGTAAAACAGATGACTTAGGAAGAAAGGTGGAGAAGCATTTAGTTGCTTTTAAACTTTATATAAAAAACCTACTGACTTTTGAGATGTTTTTTAATGGAAAATTCTCTAGAAAAAAATGTTTCAGTGAGTATTCCAGCGAGGCTTTTTTTTTTTTTTTTAAATTTGGGCTGGACTTCAAAAAAAGGTCAACACATAATAAAGCAGGATAAAACAAATTATTAATTGGTTTAAAACACACACACACATGGGAACCTGGGTGGCTCAGTAGGTTAAGCAACTGCCTTCGGCTCAGGTCATGATCCTGGAGTCCCAGGATCGAGTCCCACATCGGGCCCTCTGCTCATCAGGGAGCTGGCTTCTCCCTCTGCCCCTCGCCCCTTTCATGCTTTCTCTCTCTCAAATAAATAAAATCTTTAAAAAAAAAAAAAAAACACGCACACACACACACACACACACACTTCTTTTCCTGCTAAGCTTTAGTGACTGCAGGGTTTTCAGTTAAGAAAACAAATTTTTAAGAAATCTCTCTTGATGGATGATTTAAGTGAGAAAAATAAAAACAAAGTTTCTGACAGAATTTGAATTCTGACCTTCCTTGAAGGGTTATAGCAAAATTTCCTAATGAATACAACTCTTTGTTGGTTTTCAGCAAGACATTTTCAAATATAAATGCCAATATTTTATGAGTCCTGCTTTTGAAAGTGCCCCTAGAGGCTATTGTTTTCCAAAGCTGCACAGTTGTAAGTCAGAAACATGTGGCCTTAAGGGAAAACAAAAACAAAAACGAAACAAAACAAAAAACCTGTCCAACTGTCCTTATTTAGATTGGGAAATTGCCAGGCAAAGTAGCATCCTCAACCTCATGTGTTGCTATGCATGAAGGGAGGCAGCTGACTGGGAGGTATACTTTCAGAGATGGATATTATGTTTACTAATACTACCTAATGACACAATTTATATTTTCATTTTGTTAATGTGAACCAATCCAAGTCTTGGGATTACCATAGTTAGAGCACAGATTTGATTCAGAAAGAATGTGTTGTTCAAAGCCTGGATCCTCCGCTCAATACTTCCTTTCTTTAAGCAAATTACTTAACTTCTCTATTTCCTAGCTTTATTTTCTGTAAACTAAGAATAATGACAATGCCTGCCTCATAAGGCTGATCTGAGGATTAAATGACAGAGTAAAAGTTGAATAATAACCACTATTTTT